ACACAACACACCTCCGCTGAAAAGCAAACCCCCCAACACCCTCACCCAGGTATCCTCGAGGTACCAGCACAAAAGACTCAAGGCCTTAAATGGCTGTCTGTTAAACATCCTCGCACAGGATAATATTTACTTGTTACTCGTATTGCAGGACCGCACGAGAACACAACGACAGTTACAATATACATTGTCACAGACGACAACATAATTACCTTTAAGTTTGAAAACACACTGGATGCCGTTGTGGATACAGAATTATACGTAAGTTTAGTCATTTATCTTCCGATATATTATCCGATAAATCAAGATTTGGACAGTATGAGAAAACAATTCCTTTGTTATTTGTCGAATCTATATTAACAGTTGAAGATCCAATGTCAACTTTGTCAATAATTGTAATTTTTTAAACATCTGGTTGAAGTACCTATCGTACACATAAAATACGATACGAAAATTTGCTTTAATTTTCATGTCTAAAAGAAACATTAAAAAAAAAAATTTAATTAGTTGCGACAATTACGTTTGAAGTAGGATTTCCGGTTAAATAACTGTGTGATTTTTAGATTCTGGAAACAATTAGTAAAATCTTGGGCTGGAATTGCCAGGAGCAAAACATAGATAAGAATACTGTTAACGGAATACAGTATGACAATGTCACGGTGGCTAATATATACTGTATGGATAATAGCACTCTTTTGACTACAGATGATCTGAAAGCGTACGTATTATGGATTGGTTTCCAACAAATTAACTGATGATGGTATTAAACCCTGTGCAGAAATAATATTTCAACAAACTGTATTTCAGAAAACTAAACAACATCAACACGTTCCAACAACTAAAGCGGGAGTTACTTGAACACGGCATTCTATTACAAACGTTCGATGGCGATTCCTCAGTGGTAGTTACTTTAGAAACCAATCTAAAAGTCGCTTTAATTGCAGTGTCCGTAATCCTTGGAGCCTTATGTCTTATCTTGGCAATTACCTTCTTCTTTAAGACAAGAGAGTAAGTAAAATTGAGGAATATGTGAGCGTTATATTAGTCATTTAGAGAAACTATAACTGATAATGACTTCAAATTGTGGCTCTTACGTAAACCAGGATTTTCTTCCTCGATTAACATAAGTGATATTGATGATACAGTTTTTCCAAATCTTTCACCCAATACAACAAACGAATAACATTTTTTGTGTTCAGTGTAGATTTTTTAAATTCATTAAGCAACATACATCGAGTCCATCCATTTCTACTTATGGACTCACATTGGGTTGCGTTAATAAGAAATGGCACAGGAAACAGAATTCTATTTGCAAACGGGGAAATTTCTAATCGAATATATGCCGTGAATAACTCTGGATATCAATAATCACTTTTTTCGGAACAACATGTACAGGGTGACATTTAGAAATGTTTTGCGGGCTTTGAAGCCGTGGTCCATGGGAATTTCTTCCTGACGTTTCGTCCACAACTGCGGTGGACGTTATCAAAGGCGATAAGGCAGTGGGCGAAGTGATCTATCGTGCTTTCCGACTAAAACTGGTTCAAATTTTTTTTTTATTATTTCAGATAAATTTTACAAAATTTCTTACTGCTACGAGTACTTAAATCTAACATCGTTAGAGTGCATTTAGAAATGTTTTCCGGGCTTTGAAGTCGTGGTCTATCGGAATTTCTTCCTGACGTTTCGTCCACAACTGCGGTGGACATTTTCAAAGGCGATGAGGCAGTGGGCGAAGTGATCTCCCGTG